AACACATAACAAACTGTTCCCAAATATCACAAATTGGGAACTGGTTCCCACTTGTGTTGTGGTTTTGACACCAGCTGGTGGGAATGAACACCCAGCCCAACATGCCTCACAGTGAGTGGGAGGAGGAACTTGCACTTATGAGGTGGGGCCGCAGGTGGTGAGTGACCTTTGGCTGGAGGAATCTTCACTTCTGTGTTTTCCCTTGTCTCCTAAATATGATTTCAATAAACTGTAATAGCCTGCAGTTGACTAAAGTTGGTAATGTGCTTGCCTGACTTGAGGGGTCAGGGGAAGAGGAGAATGCATGAACCGAGTTCCCAGGGGTGGGGATGCATAAAGGACAGAGCTGATAGTTAGAAAGATAGCTTTTATTCTAAGGGATGTGGAAAGGAAATCATTCATTTTAGAAGTGCCAGGAGAAGGAAAAACAAAAGGGACAGTAGAGTTGTGGCTGCATATTAGTGGCCACTTGCAGCACTGGAGCGGAAAGAAGCAGGAGGAGTATGGTATGCCTGGAGGACTGACCAGACCCATGCCACAGAATGCTTTGGATGCCTGTACATGAGTTGGGAGGCTGCTCTGATGCACTGTAATGACTCGATTAATCAAGTCTGTTGGAGCATGGTAATTACAGCACTCCAGTTAGCCTCTGCATCTTGTGTATCAGCATACTCGTGCTTCAAAGTGGCAGTAGGGGCACTTAAACTAAAGTTCATTTGGGGACGCTGGTACACGAGATGCTCTGGGCGCTTTAATTAGAGCGGCTCTTTGAGCCGCTCTAATTAAAATGCCACCCCCCAGCCCCAGAGCATACGTAAAAACATCCTTTTTGTCTACATGTAACACTGAACACTTCAAAACAATACGTGATTTTCCAAGAATGTTTTTGATCCATTCAAGGCAGCTTTAAACTGGATCAACAGGCTTCTGTCTGTCTGCTTCAAGCTTGAACAGGTTTGAATATCATCTCTACTATGAGTTCAGGTTTGAACTGCATTTCAACTGGTCAACATGTTATGTGTATTCTTAGTCTAACTGCTTCTGAAAAATGTTGTGTGGAAAAACAGTAGAAAAAGTGTGGGAGGGCTTGTTCTATCGCTTTGTGCCATATGCTTAATTTAAACTGTTTAGACAATGACTCTTAGACTGTATGCAGACAAAACGGGAGCCCTAAATTGAAGCAATGGATTTTAAAAAACACCTCTTCAGTTTAGGGCTGATTAAACCCCTGTGTTGTGCATACACCCTACTGATTTACCTGCCTTTCTGACGGGGTGGAAAGGACGAGCTGCTGGTGGGCAGAACGGTCCTGGGCTGCAGGGGGGGCTGGTGCTTCCTTCTGCGGCAGCTCCCCCAAGGCAGCATCCACCCACAGGCACCCAGCTCAGGTGGTCCTGTGGGTTACTGCAGCTGCAGAGGGAAGCACTGGACCCCTGCACAGCTCAGGCAGGCAGGCTCCTGGGAGGAAAAAAAAGATCAGGCTTTCTACTTCTTTTGGGCAGAGTCTGCTTTCCTGGGCTGCTAACAGGCTGCACAGGGCTTCCTGCAGAGCCATGGAGCTGCATGGAGCCTGGTACTTCGCTCCGAGACTGTAGGAACAGCAAACTAAAATTCCTAAACTGAAGAATTTTAGTTTGCTGCACCACAAGTCATTTAAGCGCATTATGCTGTTGAATTTCCTACAGTGACTGGAATTAATGTGCAATACACCACCCAGGCATGCAAACACTGACACCATTCAAGCAGTACAAAAGCATTTAGCCTGCTTTAAAGTATTGTGTGCACACACCTCTTGTTTCATCTACACACGGCCTTAGGCCACACATTACATATATTACACTATTAACTAGTTAATCATGCAATGCATTTAGACCAGTCACATGTGCAAAGTAAGACTGGCTACACATGCAAAGTAAGTATTGCACAATAAATTTAGACAAGCCACACGTGCAGAGTAATTATTGTGCCATAAAAATGTCCATACAACAATAAAAAGAGCCAACCAGCTACAAAGTTCGCGCTTAAAAATGTGTAATGACTTTATAGCTGGTTTTTATCCAGCTTTTATTTGAATGTGTGGCAGATTAAGGGTAACAAACCAGCAGCCAGATAATGCCTTACCATCTTGCATGGTCTACAAGTTCTAGTGAAATGAGTTTGAGTAGACTGTATAACCCAAGACAGACAGAGACTAGTCTTCATTCCAAATTTGTGCCACCCACTAATATGTATAACTCCATAGAATCATGCATTTTATTTATACTACTTTTTACAATAAGATTCTAACATATTTCTAAAATAGCTGGAGCAGGCAAATTTTACTTACATGAGTTCCTAATAGGTCTGTACAGTTAGGCTAGGGACAAACATTACACATAAACCAGTTATGTGATCAGAAACTGGTTTAAATCAGTAACAGAACTGACAGTCAGTGCACATAAACCAATTTGAAAATGGCTGAAACTGGTTTGAGATGAACCTGATTGAATGTAATATCAGACTTTAATGATCTGCCTCAAACTGGTTTATGGATTGTCTGTCCCAGACTCCTTGCTCGTTTAAGTTAAATCAGACTCCACCAGCATCCTAGCATGCTCTCAGGGCTGGGTGGGGCTCTGCTCTTTGCTCTGGGCTGGCACCTTCCTTCTGCTCTCTAGCCAGACCAGGGGCAGGGCATGGGCAGACACTGGCCTGCCGTGGCCCCTGAGGCACATTCCTCCCTCTGTCCTCTACCCTGCCTCCACCTGTAAAGCCTGCAGACCACATCTGGGGTTTGCCAGCCCTGGCTGCACCTCCATGACTTGCCTGCAGCCAGGCAGGGCCAAAGTTAATTCCTCCCTGTCCCCTCTTTCCCCCAGAACCTGGCAGGGGGAGAAGGGCGGGGAGTGTTGACTGCAGTCTCAATCATCACACATATGTGCTGGAGATGTAGTTAAGGGAAGTTGTAGACAGCTTCACCAAAAAATGCAGAGAGCTACATTTACATTATAAAGCAGAATCTGTAAAAGGTGAGAATACTTAAATACAGCCTTTCCGAATGCCTGGCTATAAGGAGACACAGGATTATATAAGACTTATACAAAGCTTTCTCTTGTCTTCTTCATTTTACATTTTAAGTTAGACTAAATTGTGTATGCTGTGTTTTATTGGGCTGTATCTTAGCTTAGGCAAGATTTTTGGTAGTTCCTTCAAAATGCTTTGCAAATTGCTGTGTTCAATACATACTTACTTCAGAGAAAGGACTTGTTCCTCACCTCCACTCCTCAGTCTGGCAGCAGCTGCCACATCTCCTATGTCCTGCTAGCCCTGGCTGGTGCCTGGCCACACCCCTTCCACTCCAGCAGGGAGGGGAGAGTGCCTTAGAGGGCATCTCTCTTCCCTCCCCTTTGACAGTAGCTGGCAGGTGTGCTCAAGTGGCCCTTAGCGTCTAGCTTGAGCCACTGCAGGCATGTGGCTGCATTTCCTGGTTTAACAGAGACTGTCTGTCCAGTTATTAATCAGTCTAAGCTGCACAGGTTAGACTAACCTGGAAAGAGT